TTCGTTTCTTTTGGAACGATGCAGATTATGCTTTTCTGGTTTATGAAGACACATTACCGTTGACTTAACCCCACCCCAAGATTTCTCTTACACTGACATTTCACCTCATAACAAGGAACTTTCAATGACACAAAATTAGGCGCTTTTAAATCGCCACTCTACCCTTACACTCTACCCAAGCTGGCCATAACTTAACTACATCCAACAGTTAGCCAAAGATGAAATTTTCTATCAATTTATTGACACATCTACAACTGCAGGGTATAAATTTATTTTCAACAATTCGGGAGAGTTAACGCTTAAGTTACAATACCCCTAGTAGACTTCAAGTAGATCACAGATGTAATATATTGTGACCTTTTAGAGAAAAAGGGCTTTAAATGGAATAAAAACCGCGTGTAATCTTTACAAGCTTGGACAGCAACCTTTCTGAAAGTGACTTAGACTATAATGTTGCTGAAACGTAAATTATTAGCTAGCTCCCAGTTTTCGGTTATCTGGGGTGCTTACCAGTTTCGCAAACCAACCAAGTGAAATTACTAACCTGCAATAAATATTCGCTTATATCAAGTAAATGTATTTTTTAATATACTTTAAGACGACATGGAGACTGGTGTTGACAAAAGCAAGACTGGCCCCGGTTGTTCAATCGCTGGATAGCGCTATCTAAGGGATAATCAATATCCAGCAACCAAGCATTAGCAAAATCAATTGCGTTATCCAGTGGATAGACATTTATCCAGTGGATAGCGCTATCCACCCTCTAAACAACTTGGGCCACGTGAGCTCCATGTCAAACACAAAAAGAGTGTTTCACCCGGGTATCTAGACTACGAGTAGTCCCCCATTTTTCCTCAGGGATAGCCCCCGAGGAAAAATGGGGGACTACTCGTAGTCTACCGGGTACCCGAAAACCGAAACGTGGTATAAAAAGGCTGAGCAGCGTAGATTTTTGTAAACCGATTAATACTAGGGAAACTTTCATAAAACATGACTAAACACTGCTAAATAAGTATTTTTTTTCTTGAAGTAATTCACAGCAATAGGTCCACAAAATTCTTTGTCATAAGACTGCTGCCTAAACCATCACCGCGATAGGGACTTTCTTTGACCCCTTTATGTGAATCATTAATGAGTTTACGAAACAGGACGGCAGGAAGAAGAGGACGGCAAAACGCTTGTGTGTGACAAACGTGACAGGGCTATTTTTGGCGAGTTTTGTCGTGATCTTCACTTAACATAAATATTTTAAGGAAGGTGATGTTTAGCGAAAAGTTATTTTAAACAAGATTTTTGTCAAGCTCGACACACAAGGTTTGCCGTTTTCTTTCGTCTCCCGTCCTGTATCTTAAGTTCACTATTAACGAGTAGGGGAACTTCAGGGAAGCGCTTGGACCTCCCTCCGGCCCAATCTCCCTTTACTTGACATCCAGCAAATGGGGACCCTGAGTCAAGTATCGGCCAGTGTTTAGCAAAACAGCAATCTGAGGCATTTTAAATTTAATCATAATATTCAATATATGTTTATGATGATCGGCTTCAATATGGCACATCGCGCAGACTAAAAACTATCATCTACCTAAAATATACCACTTAAAAATAATTTTGGAGCTTTACTGTTTGTTTTAAGCCGCGGCCTAAGCTTAATCATCTCTTTAGAATAACCGACCCTTTGAGTGAACTAAAATGACATAGTAACTTCGCCTCAAATTGACAAAGATACTAATTACACAGTGCAATGATTAGGGCAAGCCTATCATTGTTACCTCTTCAAGGGTCCAAGTTTTTTTAAGTTTGAGGGAAATTGAGAGGCTTAATTAAATACCGTGACTATGCTATACTGTGTGCTGTGTTGAAACTCATTGAAATTTTCCTCAGTAAAGCAGATCCTTCCCTGCAAAATAACATTAAAATGCTCAAGTTGTTTTTGACCTGAAATTATTCCGTAAAAACAAACAAACAAATCAGTAATGCAATGTTGTATGTACTTTTTGTTTCTTTCTTCAGAATACGAACACCTTGCCAATACAAATGTGCTTTGCTGTAAGGAGTTTTAAAAAGACGTCCTAAATTAAGTTGTTTTTTCCCGCACTGGTAAGCGCCCAGATTTGTAAGCGACCGTTCTCCAGATAACCGACCACATCCATAGTGATGGTCTTTCGCGAGGGGCCACTATTTAAAGGAACCACACCCGTAAGCGACGAGTTTCATGAGCAATCGCCTTTCGCTAGAATCCTGTTTGATTCCGATTTCGTTTGTTGCGAGTCTCGAAGTGGTTGTTTTCTGGCGAGTTCCCTTACGTGTGATATTTTTGGACGTTTTCCCCTAAAAGTATCGTGTTGTTTCGGCGAGCCAGAGATTTTACCATTCACCACTATAAAGCTATTTCGTTCTCACATCAGAACATACGGCTCTCTGACCATCCCCTCCTATGTCATAAGACCCCACCTCCGCCCAAAAAAAAAAAAAAAAAAAAGAACGCCATAGATCGTTTTCATTCACGTGGTTAGCAACTATACAAATTTCTTGGAAGAAAGGGAAGTTTTTACATGAGAAAAGAGCATAATCCGCACAGGGTTTTTTCGGTACACCAACATTGTTTTGGAAGTTTAGTTCAGTCGGTAGAGCGCTCGAGACGCAGAGCGGAAGGTCGCGGGTTCGATTCCTGGGGCCGGAGCAATATTCCGAACCTTAAAATAACTGAGAAATGAAGGTACTGCCTTTGCCATGTATAAGCCCCTCCAAATATATGCCCCCGAACCTGTAACGAAAAAAATCTTCCGTTAAATCACCCCTCCAAATATAAGCCCCCCGAGGGCTTGTACTTGAAAAATTGCCCTCAAATACAAAGTAAAACATAGCCAGAACGGTAAATTTACTTCCAACCATAAGGCTAGCCCAATCGATTTTGAAACGCAAATTTCCCTCCGTAGATAAGCCCCTTCGAATATAAGTCCCTCCAAAAATAAGCCCTTCAAAAAGGGCCTTTGAAAAATTTAAGCCCCGGGGCTTATTTTCGAAATTTTACGGTATTCTCGTACTAAATACGTTGACACTCAAAATGCGCATTTTTTACTGCCTGCTCCTCCTTATTCTTTCACCACAGTCTCTCAATGTATTAACCTCCTCAAATTTCGAGACAAAAGAAAACCTTTAGATTCTAAAGCGGGAAAACGACTACGAGAACAAGATTTTCCCGATACTAAGTAGTACACGCGCGCGAAACAACGTCATTTTGGCGGGAAATTTCATCTTGTTCAATGTCAAGTTTAAAGGAAGGATAGACTAACGATGGCAACACAATAGCAATGAGCGAGGATTCTGACATCAATGTTGGGATTTCAAAGAGTGATATGGATCTCTACACGGCCTAGACGTAACAATCGAGGAAGTGGATATTCCGCTATTCTTAAACTCTCTTGATATTTCGCCGAAAGCATATTAGTTTTGTTAAGATTAGGCACCGGCCAGCAAAACTTACGAGTGGAGGGGAGTAAAAAGGAGGGCCAATTGAAATGCTTACAACATGTACAATGACAAAACTGATAAAAATTAAGGTACTATGGCATCAGTTTTCGAATTTAATGTTTAATTTAAATTATATGTGCCTTTTAAGCCAAATTTCGCGTCAATAAATGTAAAAATTAGTTTCATAGTTAATCATTAATAACCATTTAACTGATAACTGACAAAAAGCGTAAATTTTAACTGACAACTGACATTTGTATTCCCCCATCCAGACCCTCTTACATCTACATGTACTTATTCGCCGTGGGAACTTGAGAAATTACACGTGAATGACAATAGCTGCCTTCCTTGACGACCAAATAGTTTTCAAAAACTACAATTGTCATATTTTTTCAATCTTCTTCACGTTTGTATCGTGTGGGGCAAGTACAAACGCCTGTAAAATTTCGCCACTTTGCATTGTGGAGGAATATCGTCTTAGGCTCTCTTTGGACGTATCACCTTAATTTAAACTTGGTACGTTACCTTATTTTAAGGCCCTCTTACCAACAATGTAGATGGATATTTGCTTACTGCTTAGCCTGCGTAGCGTGTTTCCCTCTCGCGTTCCCGTTCTCTCTGTCGCCCACTACGTCCAAGCGCCTGCTACGCAGGCTACTTACTGCTCTTTATCAAAATTTGATTAAAAAATGTGGAAAATTACTGGGTAGGCATGTTTTGTAAAAATGAGGTAGATGTATTAAGGGTCTTTAACAAAATGGATGTCAGGCAATCAGACAGAAAAATTTCACAGAATTTCTACGAAGTATAGGCGCATCTTTCTTTACACTTTTTGCCATATGCTTATCACTATCTGACGACGCTAATAACATAAAAACTCTGAATATTGAGCGGCATAACAGTTTCAGTTACCTCTGAAAATTTTAGCCCAATACACCGAATGGCTTGGGGTATGTGTCATTAACTTTTTGCCATACAGCAATTTCGCAGTTTTTGATGACTGAAATTTCCTTCAATATTCACTCAGCTTGCAAGGAGCTGAAAATTGCACAAATTGCTCAACTTAATCAGCTCTTTCAACTTTTGCATTTAGTTCGTACACAGTTTACGGCCACGGCTTCCGTGAGTTAAGTCGTATGCTAATGAGGGAAAATGTGAACAATGACGTCAGCAAAGATTCGCGTATAGAATGCTTTGTACTAACCTCCTGAAAGTATTTCTCGTCTCATTAAAATTTAGGAAAGCGAGAGTGGCTTCGCAGTCAAGCGTCTACATGAAAATGTTTCCGATGTCGAATTCAGGTGGCGATTTCACTCTATGCCCAAGCGAGCAAAACTACGGCAGTCACTATTTCTCTCTTTCCATCTTACGCCCCTCCCCTCCGGCCATGCACCTAACCCACCCCCATCTTGGCGAGCTCATTTTTATCAGGTGAGCAAATATGAAAGAAAGAGCTGAACATTGTCTTCAGTGCATTCAGCAGTTTTTTATTTATATCCTACGTTTGTCTTTCAGCAAAACCAATTGACAATATGATAAGGTACGTTAATGGTGATAAGCAGTACCAATTCCATGATCTCACCGTAGACGTGGAACCTGGGCACGTTTACAGCAAGACTGGTCAGCTGAGATTTCGCACGTGGACAAACAAGGGCAAGATAATCAGGTTACACAGCTTTATCCCTGCTACAGTAATCACAATGAGGGAGCGATATCGGCTCCTGTTACGATGCAGTGTAATACAAGGCACTATGAATAATGCAATGTATTACGATAAAATACATTAATACAATGCTTTACCATTCAAGGCAATGCAATAGAGTGTTTTCGCTCACGTGGCCAGCATCTATGCAAATTTGTTGGAACAAAAGAAAGCGTTTGCATAAGAAAAGAGTTCAACTCCCAGAGGATTGGTATGGAATACCAACATGGCCGCCGTTTCATTGGAACACCAAAATGGCCGCCGTGACGTCATGTGAAAACACTTTATACAATAGGCATTTGCACGATGGCGTCATTTTACTACTACGACCAGAATCCTTTTCGTTTTTCCTTTCATATTTAAATTTTGTTTTATGTGAGGTTTGAATAACAAAAGCCCTAATTAGCACAAGTCGTAGCAGTAAAATGATGTCATCGTGCAAATGGCCTATTCAATGCGATACAACACACGTCAACGCAATAATTAACGATGAAATATGGGCAAGCGAAGGTTAATAAGTTTACCCACAAGTACGAGCTGCAATAATAGAGTTATATCAAAATCACCTACACAAAAAAGGAGGATGTAAAAGGACCACAAATTTGTCCAATGATATTCTTATACATGGAATGTTGTCAACATACTGATCTTGAAAAAGGATGAAAAAGATAAGCATTTTTTGAGTTAGCACTTTTACCAGTCAGGACCTAAACGTTACCTTTGTGAAACTTTTAGGACAATGATAACGTTAACGTTTCTCAATGATCAGCAATTTAACGACTGGCTACCGATTTCTCTGCCATCGATCAGACAATTGGTTACAAGGTTAACTCCTTGCGACCTGCTAAAACAGCAAATACTGCTCTTTTTTGTTATTGCAGACCGCATTCATATACCTCCATTCTTTTGACCCCATCTTATCGAGTAACAGAGCGAGAAACAGTTCAAGGTGTCGCCAAAGCGGCTGTAAGAGATTTTGCCAGGCTTGTCCAGGAAGGCGTCTGTAAAGAAGGTCAAATACTTCTTCTGATGGCTGACGGAACACACAAGAATAAATCCAACACAAGCATGACAGGACCTTGGTTTCTGGATTACCAGCATGGGCAAGAAATCGTGTCACTGATAGAAAGGTATGGTTACAGCTGAGCAGAGGCCGGGGTACAGTCTTATCTTTTGTACTGGTAAGGATGTGTCATCTTAAGCGATGTCAAACACCTGTTTCACTTTCCCTCCTCATTCTGCTAGACTTGAAGAGTAATAGAACGCTTTCGACTTCAGAAAATTTCATTTTCGAAAACGAGGTCAAGTGTAACACTTTTCTTTTGAAAATGAGTTTTATTTGCATGAGAATAAAAATTCCTTCTCACAGCAACAGCTTCGAACTTAGCCTTGCTTTCAGACAGAGTCTTGGGCCAACTCACAATTGGTGCCTTTTGCGGAGTAGAGTAATTGTTACTTGGAAACTATTAAAATCCTTCTAACCGGTGGACATATTCTCGCTTGTTTGTTATTCTGCTTGTAGATATAAGATGGTTTTTGCAACTGTGGTTACCGAGGACAGCGACATTTTTACCTCGTGTCCTGGAAAGACAGACGTTCGAGGAAAAGGATCGCAGTTTGAGGCAGCTTTTAATTTTATTCGCCACTATGTTATTCCGGACAATGGCAAAGACAAGACCCACATTGTCTGCATTGATTCTGATTTAAAAGGTACGGCAAATTATCGAAACATGGAGTCGAATAAGAACAACACCATAAAGAGTACCTCAATGCATGGAAATAAAATACCTCTTTTCTGCCATCGACTAAAGCTATATCCCCATGATCTTTTCAAATACGTTTTTAAAGAGAATAAAACCTCCATGAGTTGAAAACGAATTTCAAAGGCGCTCTGTTTATATAGATAACGGCCAAACATCAGGATTATCAAGTTTTCACCGGACCTTAACCCGTTCAAATTACATCCCAAAATAGCCTGAGAAAACAGTTTACATTTGGAGACGCTACCCCTGCTTTCCCCGCCAACTGACGTCTGAAAAACGAGCACTTCTACTCTGATGACGCGTAACTACCTAGATCTGGGTAGTGCTTCTGATTGGTTGAATCAAATTTCCCACGCAGCACTACCAATCAGAAGCACGTCCCAGATCTGCGTAGAGACGCGTCATCAGAATGGAATTTCTGCGCTCTTTTCTCAGACGTCATTTGGCGGGGAAACCAGGGGTAACGTCGGCAAATGTCGGCTGTTTTCTCTGGCTAATCTCAAAATATCTCAATAACACTCTCATAGATTTCACTCGAAGTTGGGAACATCAAGTGAGCTACTGGAGGAAAAAGCTCCCATAAACGATTTTGGAAAAAAAAAAAATTCCCATTGCCGAGAAATACGGCCACAAGTTAAATAGTTAATGACGTCATTTCGTTGCTGTGACAACTACGATGTCACCGTAACAGGTAACAAATTTTCATCTTTCCCTAACTGAATACAGTTGTGGTTTTCATTTTGCCAAATCTTTGTTAATGGCGACGTTAATGCTCAAACTTGGCAGGTACTGCCTAAAAAAAAAAGAACCTTTAGAGCCACCTTAAACATATTTTGCGTTCTCGGCTTTTTCTTCCCTAGCCACTTATGCATTTTGTTTTTGTTTTATTTTCACAGGTACAGATGGTTTCGTTTATCGTATGTTTCTTGGATTGAACAAGGGCTATTCTTACCTCGCTCCATTTTACTGGCGACATAAGTACGAAGGCAGGGTCACCAATCATCTCATGTTCCCTCTATATTCATCTCTTACTCGCTATGTTCTCAGACAACCAATTGGCGGAGAATTCGCATTCAATGGAACAATGCTTGGTCGGTTCACCAACCCTGCGAACTGGACAAAAAGTTGGAGAGATTTTGGTATCGACGCAGCGATGAGTGTAACTGCAGCAACAAGCGGGGATTCCATAGGTCAGCTACATCTTCCAAGGAAGATCAACTACGTTGGAGACGACGCCAGGAGGCAAATCGGTGACATGTTTGTTCAGTGTGGAAGAAGTCTCTTCAATGGCTTGATAGACATGTTGGACTCAACACCCTTCTGGGCAGAAAGCGAAGTAACAATGGCGCCAGTTGTTGAGACAGAACCCGTTCACAATACCAACTTGAAAGTTGAGCTGTCGGAGAATGCTGAGATTATCGCTGCTCTTCACTCGTTCTTGACTCTACACATGGGGCCTGCCTTTCAGCGCAACAATGAGACGATCCTAGGTGATGGATTATCTGATCGCATCAAAGCGACCTTTGAAGAATTCAAGTGTAATGGCCTGTGTAGCGTGCTGGCATGGAACAAACCCAAAGAAATGCCTCGGGACGAACAAGCCAAAGTGATCGATCAGTTGCAGAGTATAAAGAGCAAATATTTCCTCAGTTCCGATGAATGGGCGCAAATAGTTCTCAGATGTTTGAAGGGGTTCCAAGTCAGGCGAAGTGACAACGAGCAGCAAGCTTGCCATACAGTTATCAGAGGGGTGCTTTTGTGCGTGTTTTACTTGAGGGTGCTAGGCTTTAACATCGAGACTTCCGGTCTGCCAACGTATCCCGATGCCGAGGAACTGGTTATGCAACAAATGGAAGTGTTTTCACGATTCGCATTAACATATTTTCAAGGAAACAATAACGATCAAGAGGCGCTTTCGAATGGAACACTGCACGATTAACCAATTGATTTTCAGCGGATGAAATAAAGAACGCTGGGACAAAACACCAATTTGGCAAAGAACGCTGGGACAAAACACCAATTTGGTCATCAAAGCATTTACAACATATTATGCCTTTAATGGCTTCAACTCGTTTTCTCCATCAAATTGGCACCTAAAGCGAGACCAAATGTCAAATTATGACGTCATATTTGTTGACGTCATTCATTCGTAAATTTCTAACTGTTGAATCGCCCAATTCTTTTCAACTTTTTTTCAAAACCGTTGCAAGGGGAATTGATCGCTGAAAATATTTTCTATTATCTCAAACATTAGCTGAGACTAACGACATTTTGAACTGGAAAAATCTGTAGCAAAAAAAGGGGAACCCCACGTGTAATGGGTCTAAATTTAGGAGTTTTATCGTCGTGTCGGGATTGCCATTCAACCCTTTCGAGACCGGTTTAGTCGCTTTCGTTTCTTTTGGAACGATGCAGATTATGCTTTTCTGGTTTATGAAGACACATTACCGTTGACTTAACCCAACCGAAGATTTCTCTTACACTGACATTGCACCTCATAACAAGGAACATTCAATGACACAAATTAGGCGCTTTTAAATCGCCACTCTACCCAAGCTGGCCATAACTTAACTACATCCAACAGTTCGCCAAAGATGAAATTTTCTATCAATTTATTGACATATCTACAACTGCAGGGTGTAAATTTATTTTCAACAATTCGGGAGAGTTAACGCTTAAGTTACAATACCCCTAGTAGACTTCAAGTAGATCACAGATGTAATATATTGTGACCTTTTAGAGAAAAAGGGCTTTAAATGGAACAAAAACCGCGTGTAATCTTTACAAGCTTGGACAGCAACCTTTCTGAAAGTGACTTAGACTATAATTTTGCTGAAACGTAAATTATTAGCTAGCTCCCAGTTTTCGGTTATCTGGGGTGCTTACCAGTTTCGCAAACCAACCAACTGAAATTACAAACCTGCAATTAATATTCGCTTATATCAAGTAAATGTATTTTTTAATATACTTTAAGACGACATGGAGACTGGTTTTGACAAAAGCAAGACTGGCCCCGGTTGTTCAATCGCTGGATAGCGCTATCTAAGGGATAATCAATATCAGCTAATATCCAGCAACCAAGCATTAGCAAAATCAATTGCGTTATCCAGTGGATAGACATTTATCCAGTGGATAGCGCTATCCACCCTCTGAACAACTGGGGCCACGTGAGCTCCATGTCAAACACAAAAAGAGTGTTTCATCCGGGTATCCGAAAACCGAAACCTGGTATAAAAAGGCTGCGCAGCGTAGATTTTTGTAAACCGATTAGTACTAGGGAAACTTTCCTAAAACATGACTAAACACTGGTAAATAAGTATTTTTTTTCTTGAAGTAATTCACAGCAAGAGGTCCACAAAATTCTTTGTCATAAGACTGCTGCCTAAACCATCACCGCGATAGGGACTTTCTTTGACCCCTCTATGTGAATCATTAGTGAGTTTACGAAACAGGACGGCAGGAAGAAGAGGACGACAAAACGCTTGTGTGTGACAAACGTGACAGGGCTATTTTTGGCGAGTTTTGTCGTGATCTTCACTTAACATAAATATTTTAAGGAAGGTGAAGTTTTAGCGAAAAGTTATTTCAAACAAAATTTTTGTCAAGCTCGACACACAAGGTTTGCCGTTTTCTTTCCTCTCCCGTCCTGTTGCTTAAGTTCACTATTAACGAGTAGGGGAACTTCAGGGAAGCGCTTGGACCTCCCTCCGGCCCAATCTCCCTTTACTTGACATCCAGCAAATGGGGACCCTGAGTCAAGTATCGGCCAGTGTTTAACAAAACAGCAATCTGAGGCATTTTAAATTTAATCATAATATTCAATATATGTTTATGATGATCAGCTTCAATATGGCTCATCGCGCAGACTAAAAACTATCATCTACCTAAAATATACCACTTAAAAATAATTTTGGAGCTTTACTGTTTGTTTTAAGCCGCGGCCTAAGCTTAATCATCTCTTTAGAATAACCGACCCGTTGAGTTAACTAAAATGACATAGTAACTTTGCCTCAAACTGACAAAGATACTAATTACACAGTGCAATGATTAGGGCAAGCCTATCATTGCTACCTCTTCAAGGGTCCAAGTTTTTTTAAGTTTGAGGGAAATTGAGAGGCTTAATTAAATACCGTGACTATGCTATACTGTGTGCTGTGTTGAAACTCATTGAAATTTTCCTCAGTAAAGCAGATCCTTCCCTGCAAAATAACATTAAAATGCTCAAGTTGTTTTTGACCTGAAATTATTCCGTAAGAAAATAACAAAAGCAAACAAACAAACAAAACAGTAACGCAATGTTGTATGTACTGTTTGTTTCTTTCTTCAGAATACGAACACCTTGCCAATAAAAATAAGCTTTGCTGTAAGGAGTTTAGAAAAGTCGTCCTAAATTAAGTTGTTTTTTTCCCACACTGGCAAGCGCCCAGACCTGTGAACGACCGCTCTCCTGATAACCGACCACATCCATAGCGATCGTCTTTCGCGAGGGGCCACTATTTAAAGGGACCACACCCGTAGGCGACAAGTTTCATAGGCCATCGCCTTTCGTTAGACCCCTGTTTGACTCCGATTTGCTTTGCTGTGAGTGTCTAAGTCGTTTTTTTTTTGCGAGTTCTCCTACATGTGATTTTGTTTTTAACGTTTTCCCTAAAAGTATCGTGTTGTTTCGGCGAGCCACAGACTTCACCATTCACCACTACGAAGCTATTTTCTGTCTTCTGTTTCGTTCTCGCATCAGAACATACGGCTCTCTGTCCATCCCCTCCTATGTGATAAGACCCCCCCCCCCCCCACAAAAAGGACGCCATAGATCGTTTTCACTTACGTGGTTAGCAACTATGCAAATTTCTTGGAAGAGAGGAAAGTTTTTACATGAGAAAAGAGCTTAATTCGCACAGAGGTTTTTTCGGTGCACCAACATTGTTTTGAAGTTTAGTTCAGTCGGTAGAGCACTCGAGACGCAGAGTGGAAGTTCGCGGGATCGATTCCTGGGGCCGTAGCAATACTCAGGACCTTAAAATAATTGAGAAATGAAGGTATAAGTCCCCCAAACCGGCAACGAAAAAAACCCTCCGTTAAATCGCCCCTCCAAATACTAGCCCCCCGGGGGCTTTTACTTGAAAAATTGCCCTCAAATACAAAGTCAAACATAGCCAAAACGGTAAATTTACTTCCAACCATAAGTCTAGCCCAATCGATTTTGAAACGCAAATTTCCCTCCGTAGATAAGCCCCTTCGAATATAAGCCCCTCCAAAAATAAGCCCTTCAAAAAGGGCCTTTGAAAAATATAAGCTCCGGGGCTTATTTTCGGAATTTTACGGTATTCCCGTGCTAAATACGTTGACACTCAAAATGCGCATTTTTTACTGCCTGCTCCTCCTTATTCTTTCACCACAGTCTCTCAATGTATTAACCTCCTCAAATTTCAAGACAAAAGAGACCTTTAGATTCTAAAGCGGGAACGACTACGAGAACAAGATTTTCCCAATACTAAGTAGTATACGCGCGCGAAACAACGTCATTTTGGCGGGAAATTTCAACTTGTTCAAAGTCAAGTTTAAAGTAAGGATAGACTAACGATGGCTACACAATAACAATGAGCGAGGATTCTGACATCAATGTTGAGATTTCAAAGAGCGATATAGATCTCTACACGGCCTAGACGTAACAATCGAGGAAGTGGATACTCCGCTATTCTTAAACTCTATCGATATTTCGCCGAAAGCATATTAGTTTTGTTGAGATTGTTACAGTAATGAGAATAAACGTCTCCTATCTATTAAACGTCCCCGCTTGGACCCCTAAAATTAAATAGACGCCCCGGGCGTTTATTACGTCTTTTATGGTAATAGAGAGAAGTCGTTGGGTCACGTTGCCATGGTAGCAAAATTTTTGGATGACAACAAACAGAAAAAGTCACTTTAAAATCTATTCCCACCATTTCAAACTTCACCGATCTTCTTCAATTTCACATAATTTGGCAAATCTTGGCGACATTTTTTTTGGAACCATATCTAACGTTATTTAAGTTTAGAAAATGAAAGGGACATCTTTTGTGTTGTGTTCACCTACTCCATAAAGCGGGCTCGTGAAATTAGGAAGTTTCATATCGTAGTGGTGCAACGACGGTAAAGAAACGTACAAAATAGCGAGATGCACGTGCAAAGTTGTTGTTTGTTAACATATAAACATATCATTTTTTGCTGATCTCCTTGCCGTCACCGTCGTTGTTGGTTTTGTTGTCATCCAGAAAAAGTGCTACCATGGTAACGTGAATTAAACTTATCTGAGAAAAATCATGACCTACTTTTGTCTCATGGATCCGCGCAGAGAACCAAACTTGTTCTTTAGCAGAGGTTCAAGTTGTTCGGTTAATTTCGTGTGATTTCTTTCCAGCTCTTTCTGATAAGCTCGCTGGTCAACTGTAATTAGATGTTTGTTCCTTTGAAGTGCATCTCCACATCTAAAATTACGGCCAGAAAATAAAATTTGAGTTACAGTGGTTCAGACTTAAGCTATGGGAGGAAAACGCGATTGCTAGGGTAATTCGGCCTGATGATTTGCTAAGCTGAATATTGTCGGAATGCGACGTGAACCATCACCAAAGGAAGTGGGGGGCCCGGGGGGGGGGGGGAACCCCCATAAAAAAGTGACGGGGATTCTCGTCGTCTCGCTTAGGGATGTAAATTGCAGATTTTGGTCTCAGTTGGGTTCTTTGGGACAGAAAGTCACTATAATGCCGTGACGTTGACCACAAAGAAATCTAACGTTTAGAAAATGAACGTTTCCTATGTTAACATCCATAGCTCCTAAGTGTTGGTTGGTAAACAAATTTCATAAACATTTTCATTCTTACTTTAGTTTGACAGGGTTTTAGAGTATTTATTGACCTAACTCAGTTCAACAGACACAAACTCTGCTGTCCACTAAAATCCATGCCATTTTATTACTCGCCTCTATCCTACATTGTCCTTGCTTTGATATCTACAGTATCTAATCTATCACATAATTTTTATTTCCCATGACTTTCCAGGACCGACAATTGAATTCCAGGACTTTCCTGGCCTGGAAAATGAAATTCTTCAATTTCATGACTTTCCAGTTTTTCCATGACCTGTCAAAATACTGTTCTTTTAGGTGCGAAAACTTCTGACTATTTTTACCCCGGCTTTTGTTATTGCTACCCTACTGAATTTTAGGCAAATGAGGAGTGTATTCACCTTTTAACAAACTCTTTAAAACAGAGTCTGAGTCTGTGATGATGCCTTGTGAACATCGGAGTTTCTCCTTCCTCGGAATCGTGACTGCGCAAAAACACCAACGCAATTTCTAACGGGCCCTGAAAGTAACACAAATATAAGGTCTCCGTTTACACAGTAAATGACATCAACAAAACTTCTTGAACTCTCCAGTAGGCCAACTTGGTTAGCAAAGTAGTTGAAGACTGTTATAACCACTTCAAAAACCACACGAGGTCAAACGTGCTCAACGTTGAATTAAAACAGATCGTGCGGAAATGGACCCTTTGAAGCTAAACAGTCACCTAGAGAAAAACACCTTGTGGGAGAGCATGAGACACAGTGGAGTAACAAAACAAAGAGACTGCATCAATTAACAAGCTTATTTCCTTCCTTTCAAGATTCCACTGGATCGTTTACTCTCCGGTGTTTTTTGTACTTTGTGATATTTTAGCTTCAAAGGCCCCTTAGCAAAATAAACTATCATCTTGGTCGCTAATAGCTAAGGGTCAGAGCTTAAAAGAAAATGGCATTTGATTCGCCTTTTTCCCATCCAACCATCCGGCACATCGACTAGGATGATGAACTGATCGACCATAGCGCCGATAGCACCTTGAAATACACTGACATTGATTGTTGATAATAACGCCCCCCACCCCCCCCCGCCACCCCCCTCTCCCAACCTCTAACTCACTCCACCCAATATAGCCCTTTAAGGGCGCGCAGCGTACTAAACGGACTGACAACAGTATTGAGAGAGCTTCCCTCCCCTCCTTCCAGAGTAAACGCACTCTCCCCCTCACCCCTCCGGTTCCCCGTTGGACAGAGAGGCCGTTAACAGAAATAAAATATCTAAAGCATTTCATGATAAGGAGGCTCATGCTGACATCTGGAAATCCTGTTCTAACGACATTTTCCACCTGCTCTGTGTGGCGCAAGGATACCCACCTGATTGACAGTCGTGCCGATAGAACCTTGTAACACCATCTGAAGCATCTTGGGATTGGGCGGCTCCTGTTGAATTGCACTTATAAGCTCTTTTGTTCTCAATTCCATGTCTTCGATGGCGACTTCAATTGGGCTGAGCACAATCTGTTGATCACATTGTTTAATTTAAGAAAGAACAAAACCAAAACGGAAGATATCTTACAGTAACAGCTGGACTTTTCCCCCGATTCTCTTGTGTTAAGTGTGAACAAAGCTTTTGACGTACCCAGCGTTACCTCAAGGTTGTAAATTTGTCCAAAGTTAGAAACCCACCAATCGTATCAAAACCTTCCAACCGAGAGTTGGGCTGGTAACGCACCAATCACATACAGCCACATGACGTCACGGCGGCCATATTGGTGTTCCAAATCAATTCTGTGGGAGTTGAACTCTTTTCTTATGTAAACGATTTCTTTTGTTCCAATAAATTTGCATAGATGCTGGCCACGTGAGTGAAAACGGTTTAGGGCCTGTTTACATGAAGGTGGGGGACCCCAGGTAGGTGAGGTAACATGTGGCGGGTTATTCCACCTAACATGTAAACGTGATCACATTAAAATGAGAGATTGTATGGACAGGCGGGTTACCCCACCTACGCTGGGTCCCCCACCTCCATGTAAAAAGGCCCTTATAGTCCAGCTCTGTGATCACAGGCGATCAGTAGGGAGTTTAGGCAAACGACGACGGCGACGGCAACGAGAACAGCAAAAAGGCGATAGGTTTAGATTGGCAAAACAACCACTTTGCACTCCATCACGCTTTTTTGTACATTTCTTTGCCATGACTGCCCGACAACGACGTGGTGTGACTAATTTCACACTTTATGGATGATGTGAACACAAGACAACGTTTTTCTTTTTCTTTCAGTGAACTTAGGTGTAGCCGTTAAGAATTCAACTCGCGAGAAAATCGCCAACATTGGAATAAGAGCGATGAAGTTTGAAACAGCGCGAATTCACTTTTTGGGTGACGTTTTCGCTGCGTTGCTAAAGCTCCTTAATGACGAAGTGACTATTGTGAGACCAACGATAAAAGAGCCTATCATTTCACTGACCTGTTCACGGTGTACAACATTGACCCTCGTCTTGACATAAGGGAATGAATTAGCTGCCGTTAGTATTGTCTTTCTCTTGTACTGAGTCACAAGCTCTCCATGAGCCTTGCCGCTTGGTGTAAACGGTGTTTCATACATAAACCTCCCTAACATTCAAAGAAAGACGTTTGGTTAATGTGTAAACAGTTTCCATAGAACCTGTAATCATTATGCTATCGTTTTGTAAGCAAACAAACAAGAATACAATTCTGAAACAAATTGCAAACTACTGTATGACTCAGTTCATAAACAAGGAGAGTTTATAGCAGTTTGTTTTCAAATCATAAACACTTTATGACTTTATTCAGACATACATTGTACCTATTGTTTAAATACCGTTACAAGGTTCAAACTAGGAGAAATTTTTCTTCTATTCTCCGCCAAACGTATGACTTGGAATTATCAACATTGGCTGAATGTAAAATGGATTTTTTTTTCAACAAAATGTGGCAAGCATCTAACGAGTTACGAGTAAAGGAGTGGCCACAAATACTGCGGGTCTTAAGAAGGCAACTAAAGAAAGAACTGCAGTGCTGTGTAAAAGCCACGATCATATGGGAGCAAAATTTGGCAAAAATCGCAAGCTTTCGCTTTTGAAGCAGCAGCCAAACGCTTTGGCAAAACTGATTTGTGCCAGTGAATAGTTCTCGGGCCAATTAACTTAACTAATTTTCCTTAATTTGGTTGTTTTCGTTACGTACAGGCCGCGTGATCATTAGACAGATTTAGAATGAAGTTTACGGCAAAGGACAGACTCTGGTTAATAAATTTCAAATTGAAGAATCGTCAGATAAAACTGCGTACATCAATTCTATCGAAACTACTTTTAAAGCACATTATTGAAGTAAACAGTTACGAACAAGTAAAGAGAAAACTTTGTCAAACGGGCATACTTAGATTGAAGTTCTTGTCAAAGTACGTAATACGGTCCTTGAGTTCATACTCATCGAAGTACGGGTCCACGAATGTAAGTTGAATGTACGCTTTGTCTTGATCCAGCTTGTCTTGTTCAACGGTGTTGGAATCTTTGATAACTTCAACAACATCTGGTCCAAATTTCTCACCATAAAATGCCTGAAGTCAAAACAGAATAATACATATCGCACTCTATAATCCCTTGACAGTTTCAGTCAACCTTTAAGACGGGGGCGGAACAGAACAAACCACGTATTCCAAGAAATGCCTAGCGAAACTGACATCAGCCACGTACATTAGTTTTGAAAATTCCCCAACTTTTCCTTGATAAAG